GTTTGGTTTTTTTTTTTTTTTTTATTTCCCCAAGACCTGACAGAAATTTTACTTCTTTACATGTCATTACATATCATTTCATTGCAGGGTAACCCTTACCACTAGACGCAAATATTCCTAAAAACGTTTGTTTAGAGTAGAAGAGTCAGTCAGCGGAACTGTTTCCCACGAGTATTCTGGGAGAGCTCTCCCTCTAGCGGGAAGAGAGGAGAGTTTTTGGAAGAGGTTTTTCTGTCAGTCCACATGATAGATACACGAGATGTACACTGTGGGTCGATGCTGCAATATGGGAAAAGGTAAGAAAGAGGGCATTTAGCTAAGAATCAGAAGTTGGATGCAGGAAACAAACTGTTGTGGACCAGGTCGGAGCGTTTCATGGAACTGTATAAATAGTGATAAACAGTCATCTTCTGCCTTTTATAAAGGTTAAAAAAACCAAACAAAACCAACAAAAAACTCCATACAAAACTAATTTTCTTATATCAGAAGTGTTGCATCTTTTATATAAAAATATATCTGAAAATCCTTCAGAACTTTGCATAAACAGCAGGTAGAAAATCCTTGTATACTTATTGATTATTCTAGGAACTAGTCTAGTTTCAGATTAGCTTCCAAGAAAATTCTGTGTTCTTGTATCATCATTTAATAAAACTGTCTTCCCTCCATACACTGTGATTCATCAATTTTGATAAGCTTCATCCATTTTGATAAACTTTACCTTCCTCAGAGGCTGCAGAAGAAAATGTAAACATACTCTGGAATAGGTGTTAAGAATGGGAAACCTTCATTTACTTTGTATTGCTATACCACCTATTCACTACAACACTTTGAGCCCTTGTCACTCAGGCTGTTCTTCACCAAGTGCACCAGGTATTGCTCATCCCACAATTGGACAACTTGTCCAGAAGGATGCTGTGAGGGACAGTATCCAAAGCCTTACTAAAATCAAGAACTCTACATCCACTGCCTTCTCTTCATCCATGAGGTGGATGACCTTGTCAGAGAACTATATCAAATTATAGTTAAATAGTAATTTCTCTTTGTGAGCCCATATAGGATGTGACTGATGATTACTTTCAGTTGTACCCAGTATAATCTTCTACAGTGTTTTTTACAGAAACTGTGGGTAGAATAAAATGTCTCTAAATTCCTGGGTCTTCCCTTGCTCTTTTTGTGGATGGGAATAGCACCGGCCAATTTCCAGTCACTAGGGACCCTCCAAGACATCCAAGACCTTTGGTAGATGGTCAAGAGAGGTCCTGTCATAATATCCATCAGCACCATCAGAACTCTGGGATGAATCTCATCAGGCCCCATGGACTTGTGAACAGTCTGCTGATATATAATTCTGGTGTCCACAAATGGAGAACCACTATTCCTGAAGCCCTGTGACTCAGTAACTCAGCGCCCCAAGGCTTATGAGTAATACTAAAGACTGACTCAAAAAAAGCATTCAATGCCTGTGCCTTTTCTTCATCACCATTTGTCAGGTGACCAGCTTCATCAGGTATTGGTTCAGTATTTTCCGTAAAATACTGCTTTGATATGAACATACTTTAAAAAGCCATTTTTATTGTCTTGACAAAACACTGACTAGTTTCAACTCTTCACCTTTAGTGTTTTCTCCTTACACATGAGAACTACAGCTCTGTGATCTTCCTGCAAAGTCTGATCTTGCTTCCAGAGAACATATAATTTCTTTTTCCACTCAAGCCGCAAAAGGAGTTCCCAGTTCAGCTAACAATACCATGGTATAATCAGCTCCTGGGCTTGCAGAAGGTGGTTCTTCAAAACTGACCTGCTCTCACAGAAAGCCCTACATCATCAAAAGGCAAGGCACTCTAAACTGGCTCCCTCAGCAACTAAAGGCTTGCTTTCTTCTGGTCCAGAGGAGTGACTTCACTGACATTTTCTCTCACTGCATTGCAAATTTTAAACTCCACCATTTTGTGATCAGTGCGGCCAGGTGATTATCATTTGTATTACTACACCTACCATCACTTCTCCTATGAGTCCTCTATACATAAATGAGAGGTGAACATGGTCTTATCTGTGGAGTATATAAGGAGCCATGGGGAGACACATAGAGCTACGACATGACCTGAAATGTTGCTTCATGCAGTCTGAGTGAGAAGCCAACCTCCTGCTCCCTGAGCACCTGGGATAGAGAGTGTGTGGCCCTGAATGACAGAGGTGGCCATCAGGACAACTGGCAGCCTTCACTCGGGCATTGCCTGACTTGTAAGATGTCATCCTTTTAATGCTGTCTATGCTCTTTGGGCCCAGATCTCAAACCAAAGACATGAGTGAATATTTTTTCAGTACTACAAAGCCATCTCACAGATTATACATTTTTATTTTATTCAGGGAATTCTTATAAAAGCTTCATCCAAGTCCTGCTACAGGAAAGCAGTGCAACTCTCCTATATAAATTGATTAAGTAGTAGGATGAAACAAGTTTCAGGATGAAACAAGACACTTTCAGATGGTTTTCTCTCTGAAGTCAGAAATATCTAAGTCATACAAGAAATTAGAACTGAGAAATCTAGGAAATTATGTCAGAAGTGAGATATGGGAAGTTCTAACAATTGCTATTAAAAAGTTGGAGAGAATTTATACAGCCTTCATGTCTTTAAAATAATTTTTTTAATACCTGAAAATTACTGGGTAAACATATGATCTGAAGTTAAACTATAAAAACATACTGAAAGACACTTTCTGATGCAATGAATCAAGTTTTTCTCCTATATTTGGTTCTGGTAAACTTTACCCTCCTCAGTGTCTGCGGAAGAAAATGCAAAAGTACTCCTTAAAAATTTCTAAAATGTTTAAATACTATACAAACCATTCATAAAAATTGCAGGGGTTTTTTGTTGTGTTTTATTGGTGGGGTTTTTTTGTGTTTCTTTTTTTTTTTGCTTTATAAGATGAAAATATCCAGTTTTAATTTCCTCTAATTAAATATTATTAAAAAACTTGGGAGAATAAAAAAGCAGAAAAAGAGTATACCACAATGCCTCCTCTTAAAGCAAGTTTAGTCCTCTGGAAATAATCCAAGTTACCTCTAAAAGTATGATCAAGAAGCAGCAATGTCTGTGCTCCCTCTCCTGGCTCTGCAGCAACATTGACCTGGGCAAATCCTAAAGAGGACAACATCTGTGCAAATAGAATGAAAAAAAATGTGAAGCACTGCACTGTTTCAGCTTCCTCAATGAGAAAAACTAAAAGTTAATTCAAATGTAAACTAAAATTATTTTTAAAATATTTTAGTTCCAAGCTTCTTGAAAGTTTTCCCTAAGATCTGACAATTAAAAAATATAAAAATGCCACAAGGGACAACAGGAATTTTCTTAGTATTTGTAATACTGCAGGTAATCTTTAAGGATAATTAGTTACAGACATCCTTATCTCCATGGTGGGCAATCTGAAATATTTAAAATAACAGCTTATCTAATGAATTGTTCACATGGAAGATTTAAATATTCTTTTTAATGCTAAAATTAGATCCTTTTAAATTGTGTAATTGTAAACCCAGTAGCTCCCAAAAACCAACAGTACCAGAAATAAAAAGAAGACAGCTTCATGCTCTCAGGAGCAATTTATTTGTTCTTTCTATAGGAAGAACTCATAGAACCAAGATTTTATTGCATCACCATACATGATTATGTATACTCTACTATGAAGAAGAACAGGTGGTGTGAACCATACAACTTCCACCTCAAATATGACAGAGGGTATCCTTTAAAATTCTTTGCAGTGGTTCTACTACATCCAACACAGTGCTCTTTCATCTGCAGGATGAAGCCATCCTTGCTGGATTAGTCATGTGGCTTCTCAGCAGCCTTTAATAATAGCAGGTTATTTCAGTCTTAACTAAGAAAATATATTAATTTATAATTAAAAAGAAATTAGTGGTTTCACAATAAATGGATAAAGTACATTCTGGAACTTGAGATTACTTTTTCTAGTTTTATTATGCTCTTAGATATCTGAGACATCTCAGTGGCAATAAGGCTCATACTGTGACTCAGGAATGCCTTCTCTACAGTGTGGTATACCCCACACAAAAACTAGGGAAAATTTCCTTCTACTCTTGCTCAATTTAATTGGAAGGTGAACTGGGCATGAGGGGTAGCAGGAAGGACAAAATAAAGATCCTGCTTTATTTAATTTATTTAATCCTGCTTTATTTAATCCTGCTTATTAAAAAATAATAAATTTTTTGTATTATTAGTATTTAAAATGGAAAGGATACCTTTTTTTTTCCCCACAAGATTTGGGAAGCAAAATAGACTAGACAGCACAAAGTGAAAATCTGCTACTCCAGGAATCAACAGTCCACATACTGTGTAGTGTGACTCAAAACTGGGGCAGAACATTTGACACTGTAGACAGGATTTTGATAATAACATCTAGATGGCCAAGTTAATTACTAGGGAGGCAGCATCTCTTCCCTAGCAGTAAATCCCAGACACAGCATATATTCTTCATGACATGACAGCTGAGACCGCAGCACCATCAGCAGCGTCACAGTTGCCTTCAGTCTCAACCCTTCCTTCACAGCAGTTTGCCCGAGGGAACTGGGGAATGTGGGCAGCCTCTTACCCCACATGCAGGCATAAGTTCAGGTGTGGCTCGTGCAAGCCAGAATGACACAGTAGCTTGAGACTCCATTAACAGGATTTCTGGAAGAAGTTCTGCTGGTTGGTGTCATAGGGGCAGAGTTATGAGCTATGTCTTTCCTTTCCTGCTACTCTGCAACTTGGGAAGAAAATGAAGGCAGTATTAATTACACCCAAGCCCCTTTTTCAGTCAACCTTCCCATAGGCACAAGCAGGGGCTAAGGTTAATTTTGCTGCCATTGACAAAGTGGAGCAATCATGCCTCTGTGCTGGTACAAGTTAATGAGCAAGTCCACAGCAAGTTATCTCTGCATTAGTACAAATAATGAAGCTCTAAACACCAGCATCATGACAACAAAACCAACACTTCCTATGTTTCAAAACACAAGACCATTTAGAGATATACAATACACACTTAGCATAATGTGACTTCAGAAGTGTGATGTATTAACTAAATATCCCACTTCTGGGATATCAACTAAATATCCCACTTATGGTCTCTGTATTTAAACAATAATTAAAACCACAACATTTGTAGGTTTGACTTCTGACAGTAGCAATTTACTGCAACCTTGGCTTTCAAGAAGACCTGTCAAACAACTGTTAGGTCAGTTCAAAAAAGCAATGCTCTATTCTACAACTTGCAATTGCATGTAGCTAAATGCTACATGCACCAGCTATGAATACTTCAAACACTTGTGGCTTTGGGACATTCTGTAAAAAGCCTTTCATAAAATTGTAGGGTGGTTTAGGTTGGAAGGCACCTCTGGAGTCCTCCCCTGCTCAGCAGGGCCATGTAGATCCCTTCTCTCCAGCTATGTCATGTATCTGCTTCCTGCAGCAAGAGAAAGCAGGAGAGATAAATAATCCCAAAGTTTAGGGCTGTTGTATAGAAAGACTATGGACAAGGAAGTTGTCTAATGTCTGGAGCTTATTTAATAATTAAAATTTTGGTTTAAAGGTTAGAGGAAGACATTCTCTTCTTACAGACCATCTGCTCTGAGAACTTCTACAGAGAAGTTCTACTTCTACTTTTTAAGTAGCAATGCCTCCATTTGGTCAAATTCACTATGCAGGAGTCAATAGTAAAAAAGCAAAGGACTAAACATTCCTATAAACATTGATCTTTTTGGACCACAATCAAGTAAAAGTATTACAAAGCTGACCTGCTTTGTTATACTTGTGGAAGCACAAGTAGGTGTATTCATAGGGAAAGGCAAAAGGGCCTCAGATTTCAGATGCTCAAGAGCGAAGAATCATTTTCTGTTTGTGAAGGATGGAAGTAGGGAGTCTTCAGGTCTGGATCAATTCTGTGACTTGATTCTCAAAATTCATATTGATGCCTCCTGAAATGAAACTCACCATAGACAAGGAGCATAGACAAGGAGCATCAGGAGGAATATAATTTGATCCTTTTACAGAGAGTAAAGGTAGTGCATGTACAGATACATATCTAGATAGCAACCAGTGGCAAGCCCCAAAACTCAAGGACAGTACAAACTAAAAATCTGAACAACATACAAAATGGTTTAGTTCCATCAACCCATTTTGGTGCCATCCAGTTTCAGCAGCCCTACTTTTTAGCCTGTGTGTTGATGCTAGGGGTTGTGATAAATTTCAGGGACAAGGAACCCTTTATCTCAGGTCTGATATACCTCAGGTCTATAATGCTGAAATGCTTCTCCTGGGAAAAAACAGGAACCCCTGCTTTCTCACAGAAAAGCTTTTCCTGGGAGAAAACAGACACTAGGAGCCCGAAGTCTGGCATGTTACACCTGCTATGCAAAACCAGAATCACTTTTAACACTAAAAGAAAACCTCCAGTCAGAGATAAATGTTTAAATACAATTGCAAATGCAATTGCATTTTCCTAAATATAAAGGTGAAGTGTTAGAAGCATAGATAGAGGAATTTTTAATGACATAGACCCAACTGGCTTGTCTTCAAAAGAAAATTAATCTCAACTAATAAAGAAAAAAACCCAAGCCAAACCAAAACAACCAAACCATAGCCAAACAAATACAGAAGAAGGTTTGGCAAAAAGATGGATGATGTGCCTAAAAGTTATTTTCTTCTACAGCTACTTTTTTATTTAAACAAAATGGGACAAATCTGAGTTTAAAAGACATCTATGAATAGTTAAGAAAATGTCAGCTTTCAAAAAAAAAATTTAACACTTAAAAATTGCAGCTTTACACACTGACAGAGATTGCTTATGAGCACAAGTTCAATGACTTTGGAGAGGAGTCAGTGAAAATGAAATCTCAAGAAATGTCAGGAAGGATCGATCTCAACTTCACTGGCCAAATTTGACTCTCACGTTAGCAGGTGATCCAATAAAAATGAGAATAAACATAACCCATTGTTTTTAGACATCAAAGGTCACTACATTGCGTTAGATAAGATTACTGCAAACTAAGTGCACACCAAACCTATGAACTTTGGGAGTTATTACACATGAAAGCATCTGAAAAACTTAACAAAATTTTCATAAGCCAAAAGGGCTGCTAGGAGTCTATGATGCATGAATTAACAGAATTAGACTTGTATTACTTTATTTTCACGACAGTTTATTTATATGTAAGGTTTATTGATGTTAAAATGCAACATTAATCCACAGAATATATATATCAATTTTCAAATTTTTGAAATTATTATTTAGTTACTTAGTTCCTAATAAATGTTTGGTATCCATAGGTCATATACATGATAAGGAATATCACTATCATGTATCAGCTGAAACTGATTTCTTAAATGAAAGTATTAAATTGTTGAAACTAAGGATAGCTGTTCAGCCTGTTCCTTTTTCCTTGTTATCCTCATTCAGAGCTTCTTTTTACAGGTAGGGATGAAATTCAGGTGATTTTTTTTTTTTTTTTTTTTTTTTTAAAAAGTTTTTGTTTTTTTTTTTTTATATCTACTTAAGAAACAAAAACTTATTTGTCTTACAGAATTATAACACTGTAGTAGTTAATTATTACTTTGACCCTTTGTACAGATACTTATGTTGCCTTAAATGAAACATGATCTTTATGATTTTTGTTTTAGTTAATGTACTGATTTTATATGTGAATGAAGTTTGAGTTAAATAAAAACTATTCCTTTTTTGTGTTTGTTTTAAAAACTGCTATTAAGAACCTAAAGGTATTACATCTTAAATAGAAACCACCTTATTATATAGAAGACACTATATTTCAAAGGAAATTATTTCCTCAGATCTAATAAATAATTTTATTTTGTACTCCTGTAATTCCAGCTGTGAGATTAAATGAATATTTCCCAAAAGAAGCTACAAAACATTGCAGTCACTTCTGAAGATGTGGGATGTAAATATTTATAAGGCTTTTAAGATTTCAAGTCACAAACTCTAGAATTGGGAATGTCAGCAGCATTTATTTATTTATTTATTTCAGTTACTCTGAATATTATCACAGAATTGTGACAACATCACACTTTTATAAACACAGAAATGTTCAAAAACTGCCACATGCAGACAAGTCTTATCCAGTGCATAAAATGTATTTGTGAAAACCTTTTTGTGATCATTAATTTCATTTACTTACAGCATTGTGTGCCCAAATGGCTGAAAAAGCAGTTTAGAAAGTGAAGCATCTAAAAAAAAGGAAAGTTGCTACCGTGATTACATCCATAGATTTATGTAGGGATGCCTTAGAGGCTGTGGTTTTTTGATAGCTGTTGTATACCCAAGGATCAAAGGTAGTTGCAGTGAATGCAACTTGAATGCAGTGCTTGTCTAAATTATTTTCACTAGACACTGGCTTTTGCAAAGGATTGAGGGGACAGTTCCAAAACCAAATTAAGATTTTTATCACAATGTCTAATCTCTGTGTGCCTGTCCCTTCAGAGGCCCATCAGAATCCCAAGGTTAGTGATCTTTTTTACAAGTTCATGGGGAGCAAACCTACAAGTCAGTGACTGTCAGTCGAGGACTTTTTACATGTTTATAGAACAGTCTCCAGAAAATTTCAGTCTCTGGCAATTTCCTGTCTACTGACAGGATGTGAGGTTCATTCTTTACTATGCAGGGAGACTGAAGTGTATCTTATAATTGGGAAGTCCTCACCAGAGCACTAACTATGCTGGCAGCTTATTTGGTTGGTTTGCCACACTCTCCAGTCTTCAACAAACTTCCAAGGATGATAATCAAGTCACAAATAATTGTGTACAGGCAGCCTTAGCCTCCTCCAGCTCTCATTTAGCTGTCCTGGCGAGAGTGAATTACTGAAGTTCCTCTCTCTCTGAGAGCACCAGGCAGGCAGCTCAGGCGTCACCCCAAGAAAGGCAGAGTGAATGATTTCCATGAAACACTTGCAGTTGTGCGCTGCCTGTGCAGAACGCCTGGCATGGGAGATCAGGCGGGATGCAGATCTTTGAAAAGTGCAGCTCAATCTGACTGAGGGACATCGAGCAGGAGCATTTTCTTTCAGTGCTCGGTTAACTCCAGGTACCAGAGAAAGCAGCACATAACTTTCCACGGGAAGGTGCCACCCTGGTGGGCACAGGTGTGCAGGGAGCCATCCTACGTGCTCCCACCACCGCTGTCCACGGGGTGTCCGAGCAGTGGTGTGGGCTGGGCTCTCACCAGGTGCACCCTGAGGAGGTGGGACTCCCCGTGTCTTCCTCTGCTGCCAGCTCCCATGTTTTCAAACACTTTTTTTTTGCTCCTACCTCTTCTTTAAAAAAAAAAAAAGAAAGCCTTAAAAAAAATTATATATATATATTTGGGTGTTTTCCCTTTTCCTGTTGCAATCATTTATGGGAGTTTGCGTGTGGGGAGCTGAAGGACTACCGGCTGTGCCTCCCTTCCTGCTTGTCCAGGGTACGGTTCTTTATTGCAGCAACTCCTGGCTGCCTGGGACTGGGGAACTGCTCTCTGCTGGGCAGGAGACAACTGTGTCCAGCTGTGGGTTTATTACAAGGAATGATCCCGAGTACCAGTACAGATTGATGGTGATCTGCTGCAAAGCAGCTGTGCTCAGGAAGACCCGGAGTTCCTGATGGACAAGTTCTCCATGAGCCAGCAGTGTGCCCTGGTGGCAAAGAAGGCCAATGGTATCCTTGGGTACATCACTGCCAGTAGGTTGTGGGAGATGATTCTGCTCAGGCCTGGTGAGGCCACATCTGAAGTGCTGAGTCCAGTTCTGGGCTCCCCAGTAAGAGACATGGAGCTCCTGGAGCAGGTCCAGGTGCTGTGGATTAAGGGGCTGGAGCATTTCTCTTACAAAAAAAGGCTGAGAGAGCTGGGCCTGTTCAATCTCAAGATGAGACAACTGAGAGGGGTCTCATCAATGATTATCTGAAGGAAAAGTGCCAAGAGAACGAACCAGGTTCTGCAGTGGTGATGAGCAATAGGACAAGAGGCAACGGGCAGAAACTGATGCACAGGAAGTTGCACCTAAATCTGAGGAAGAACTTCTTGACTGTGCAGGTGACTGTGCTCAAGAACAGAAAGTCCAGAGAGGTTACGTTCCTTAAAGGAGTTTCAAGAACGATCTGGAAGAAACCCTGTTCCGTGCGCTCTAGGATGACCCTGCCAGAGCAGGGGGGCTGGGCCAGGCGACACAATGTGGTCCCTTCCAACCTCACCCGTTCTGTGATCGTGTTAGGTAGGGAAACAGCGTTTCTAAGAAACCAAACAAGTACACGCGCATCTCAAACACCAGTCGGGAACACACAATGGTATTTCCTTCGCCCTGGAGCACCGCTCCGCCCAGCCACCGCGGCACAGGACCCGCGGGCTCTGAAGGGTCCGGGCCCCAGCCCCGCGCCGCGCCCGCCCCGCCCGGCCCCGCCTCCCGGCAGCCCCCGCGCCCGCCCGGCCTCGCGAGACTCTGCGCTCTCGCGACAGCGGGGCGCCGCCATCTTACCCGCTCACTCGGGCGCTCGCTGTGTCGGGCGCTGCGGCTCAGGGCGGCGGGGGGGCCGCCGGTCCCGCACCGCACCGCACCGCACCGCACCTCACCTCATCTCATCTCCGCCGCGCTCGGCTGCGCCGCCCTCCGGCGGGGGACACCCGCGCAGCGCCCGGACGCGCTCCCCGGCAGAGGAGCGGCGAGAGCGGGGCCCGCGGGAAGCAGCCGCTGCTCGGCTGGTTCCGCCCCCTCCGTGTCGCTGGGCCTCCGGCCCCTGCCGGGCGGCCTCGGCCGAGCCGGGAGGCGGCGGAGAGTGCGGGGAGGCGCGGCGGGAGCCGGGGCGCCGGCCGGCCGGCCGGCGGGCGGCGCGGACCCCGCCGCCGGGGCTTCTGCTGCTGGCGGGGAGGCGGGGGGCCCGGGCCGCTCTGGATGGTGGTTAAAATGATCATAGAAAACTTCGAGGCGCTGAAATCCTGGCTCAGCAAAACCTTGGAGCCCATGTGAGTAACCGCGACCCATCCTCGCCCTCTCGCTACCAGAAATAAACCTTCCCCTCGTAGAAGATGGGGATCCGCAGGGGCGGGAAGCGCGGTGCCGCCGAGTCCCGGGAGGGCACCCCGGGAGATGCCCTCTCGGCTCCCACCCTCCTTTCCCGGCCGCCGTGTGTGAGGGGCTGCGCCGTTCTTGCGCTCTCCCGCTCTCCCGTCGCCGTCCTCGGCCGGGAGGTAGGACCATTTTCCTCCGGAGGATGCAGCTTCCCCCCCCTAGCGACCGCTTACCTCTTCCCTTTGTAGCCCAGGGAGAGCGGGAGACGCTGTGTGTGCGTGCGCGGCTCGCGGTGCCCCCGGAGAGGCCGCGTTAGGGAGCACGGCCCGCCGCCCTGTGCAGGGACCTTCTCCGAGAGACCCCGGTGCACTGGGACGTCTTAAGGCATCCTGGGATCTTCCCAGTAGCATTTGCTACAGACTCGTTGCACATCATTCTTGGTTATTTTGGGTATTTGATGCCTTCTGGTTTCCCTTCCCCCAAATAAAAATTGCATCAGTAGAGGACTTGGGAGTAGGAGCCCCAGAGAATAATTTGCCTGTTTGTGAATACGTGTGTGCCCTCCGAGGACAGCATCCGCGTGAGTAAAGTGGGGCTCTTCTGCAAATGCGTCTTCCTTCTCTGAATGATATTTTAGTGGAACTAGAGTGTGAATTTAGTTTTAAAGGTTTATCTTCTGGAAGTAAGGGGTCTACAGGTGAAGGCATGTACTCTTTTTGTCATTCTGAACTACTATTTTGACATGTCTGAATTAAATTTGCTGGAGTTGGATTTGAGTTAAATGAACTAGAACTTCTGAATTCAGCCTGGTGTTAACTTTTGCGCTGAGATGTTTGCTCACTGTACATTTATCTCTTGACGAGTTCGGATGGGGAAGCAAAATTTGCATTATTGCTTCCATAGCCATTAGTTAAGTATTTGTAGGTACAGATAGAGTTTGTAGGGCTTATGCCAAAATAAATTGAAAAAATTATAAAATGCTGAGACATTTTTAGGAGACCTCCACCTGGGTTGTTCTTTTATTTGTTTGAGGCTTTTTTTTTGTTTTGTTTTGTTTTTTTGTTTTTTTTGAGGTAGTGGGGGGGGTGGTGGCTCTCCTTTTATTGCATAGGGTCTCATCCAGACTACATTGAAATAGATATGAACTATGAATTTACTTTCAGTGGTCTTTGAATTAGACCTGCAACAAATTACACTGAGTGACTTTGTTAGAAAAGAGGTTTGACATTTAAGAATTTTATTTTCAGGGAAAAAAGGGCATAATCTTGTAAAACTGTAGTTTGGAGGAGGTGAATTACTTTTTATCTTGGGTCATTATAATGCAATATGTTGTGTTCTGGGGTAATAGATTTCCCTAGTCCTCTGCTGCATAATGCTCACTATTAGTTTCTGGGTACTTGTATGAATATTTTGTTAATGGCAATCAGGAGTTTGATGACAGTATTTTAGAGTGTGCTGGTTAAGGGTCTTGGAACAGACTCGGGTTGTTCCACGTTTCTTTGTTTGAATATTAAACCATGAGCTTTCTTAGCAATAGTCAGCCATTAAAGGGTGAAATTGAGATTTTCAGCTTTTGTGATCAGTGCAATTTTCTGCCTTTTTCCACTAAAGAGACCAGCATGTATCTGTTAGGTTAAATATGGTGTGTGAGCAGATCAAATGTGGTTGTTGTTTTGGAAAACTGTGGAGAGCTAGGAAGATGCTGGTCTGGAGGATGATGAGTTCTCTGCATTTTTAGCTTTGGAGGAAACAAACCGGCAGTTATTCAGTTTCTGCAGTGTCCTGTGTAACCACATTGTTGAGTAGATGTTAGAATTGGTGGAGTTGTATTGTCCTTTCGTAGCAGTCACATACTGGAGGTGCTTTTGGTGTCAGCTATCTGAAGTGTGTGACTTCAGCCGTAGCTTCTGGCTGCATGAAAATTTCAGTGTGCAGCTGCTTCTGAAGAAGTAACTGGTGCTCTACTGGTGCAGTGAGGTGCTAACTGCTGATCCTCTGAAGGTTTTGCTGTACCCAAAAATGATTTTTGACTTGTCTTTTCCTGTTAATGAAACAAAAGTGCCAAGTGTTGTCTTGCGGCTCTTTCAGAAACCTTTAGCTGCAAGATACGTGGCTTAACCTCCTAAGTACACTAAGAAAGACACCACTGTATTAGGTAATTTTGGAGGTGGTGTCTTGGTGGTTTTAGGGGGAGAAGTGCATTTAAGAAGAAACATAAATAAATTTTATAAAAACATGTCTAGATTTGTATTTATGTGCTAGTTACCTGGAGCTGAGTAGTTAGAACATGCTGCACTTTCCAAGTTGCCTTTTTCAAGGAGCTAACATTTTTTAATCAGGATGTGTAGCTTGTTCCGAAGGCCATAATGCATATACTTCTAAAACATAATGTTTCAGAATTAATATAGCAATAGCCACAAAAATTGTCTCATTTTATCTTTAAACAGTTCTAAAAATGCTGACTTCTTAATATAATGAAACAAGTGTGTTACATATTATATGGACTGGACAAGATTTAGTTGTTGCACTGTTTTCCAATGGAGTCTCTGGGAAACACTGTTCATAGACAAGAATGTTTGAAGGGGAGAGATGGTGGAGGATTTAAGATTTGGAATTTTGTTAGTGGTAGGTTGTTGGGTTTGTTTGTTTGTTTTGGGCTACTCTAATGCCTTTGGCAAAGCCTTGGTGATCATCCGTACAAAAAGGCCTTATGTGAGTTTTGTCTTGTTGCAGTGAGGCAGAAACTGCAAATGCTGCCATGCTAGAGCATTTGCACAGTCGGGCTCCATTTGAGGGGTAACAGGTCTGTAGGAGCTTTCTACAGCTCAAGAAGAGGCTTGTTTTGGAAATAACTCTTCGTGCAGAATTGCTAAATATACACACAGAATCATTGCAGATAGAGCCATGAAAATGTAATACCAATACAAATAAAGTGGCAAGAGGCTTTTTGTGCTGTGGCTACTGTGTGTTTGACTAGAATGATCTTGTATCTTCAACTCCAGTCAGCCCTGCAAAGAAGGCATTTTGTTACCAGTCATCCTCCTTGCTTGCGGACAGCAATGAACTGAGTTGCTGGTGTTACACACTTTCTTGTTCGTGGCATGGTTTCTGTCAAGTGTTGGAAAATGTTAAACTTGGAATATAACCTTCTGCCTGTCACTTCTGATTTCTGTACTAGTGAGGCACTCACTGGGCCTGTCAATTGTGATGGGTTTCTTTCCTGCAAGCCCATTCCTGATACTCCATAAACTGCGTATATAGTCCATGCTGGAATATCCTGATATCTGGCTTGGTGAAGTTCCAAGTAGGGATTTCTGTAATTTTTTTAAAATTTGTTTGCATCTCTACTTGTGAAAAAAATAGCTTTTTGTACTAATGCTACACTCACAATTTCACTTTTAAGACATTGTAATGTTCTCCCCCTTGCCCTAATTCTCTACACTGGAAAGTTTCCTTGGTTTTAATTACTTTGTGTAAAATAAATTAAATTGAAATATTTGTGGCCTGCTGAATTCTACTTTCAATTTGATTAAGGCTCCCATACCTATTTTTTTTTCCATGTCACTGTATTTACATTTTTGTGAAGGTTTATTCCTGTACCAAATCAAACTTGAAAAAAAGATGAAATGCCTACCACAGCATTTGTGCAGTATTTAGGCATACCTCATTGAAATGGAAAAGTATTTTGCATTGGTGAATTCTGTAAGTGAATGTGGCATTGTAACAGCTTGCATCAGATGGAATAAAATGAAAATTGTTTAAAAAAATATTTTGAGTATATTTATCGTTGGAATGTTTTTTGGCAAGTGACCTGTGTCCTCTGGTGTTATGATATCACTATTCTTTTTGTTTGTCAAGTTTGTCAAGCTTTTTAGCCCTTTTTTTTTTGGCTTTACAGGTTACTGGTACTGACTGGTACTACTGAAAGGTTGCGAATAAAAACAGTTTAACAGTGGTGTAAGCAATATGCTAATAAGCCAGGACATTGAAAGCAGAAATAAGTTAAAATGAAAAACCTTTTTAATTTCATGTGGCACATCATCCTATCAAATAACACTCATTGGGCCACCATGAAATTTCCATGAAACTTCCTAAGAAGTTCAGAAGCAATGAGCATTTCTCTTCATTTCACTTACTTTGTTAACACCTTGTGTGAAGCTATTTGTAACTAGGATAAATAAAGCACAAATGCATGTCACTGGTATGTAATGTTTAACACTAGTTATTTTATACACCTGCTATGAAACTTGATAGTGTGTTCACCTGACTCACAGAGAGCTACTGTATTTGAGAAATCAAGGTTCCTATCTTACTTACTGCTAAGCTTCTGTGTAAAAGTATTATGTTAGTATTAAAAGATTGTTATTATTAGGTATAGTTGAAAGCAGAAAATGAAAATAAGAAAATTACTCCTGTTACAGGAAACCTTTTTGGTTGTTACAGTGAATATCAGCAGTGAAGTGAAACCCCTTTGACTACACTGCAAGTCACAGAGACACTATGATGAGTTTTGCTTTCTGCATTGAATGGGTGTTGGAGAGCCAGCAAGCTGACAGCTGTTCTTCCTCATGAGAGCTGTCTTGAATCTAGGGATGGTATTCTAGGCTGCCAATTACTGGTTGCAGCTGTATGAACATGTCAGATCTGGGTATCAGAATAATTTAGAACTGATTTAATGGCATCATTAGCTTGAATAGCAGCTTTGGAGGCTGCAGCGTTCCTCAATGTGTTTCTATTGCTTTAAGTACTGTTAGAGAGTTAATTAAAGTGAGTAACATAAGAGTGGTCCTTCTCAGCCACGATAGTGTCTCAAGATAAAAGTTGGATCTTGCTGAATGAGTTTGTCATTCATTTTACTTACTGAAGTAAGTTTACACCATAGCTTTTTATAGATTTTTTTTTTCTTAAGTAACAACAGAGTGGTGCAACTGCCTGAATTAGGCTGCCCAGTATGCTGTGCACATCTTTCTGCAACCACTCAGCTCTTCAAGTAGAAAGCATTTCTCTAAGCCTTCAAATACAGCCATGTCCACCTTGCTTAATGTCAAGAGCTGAGCAGTATTTTAGCAGTCGGTCTTCAGGCAACAAAACCAGACTCTGAAATTTAGGTTATTAACTCTCAGGATCAGAGCACAACAAATAGCATGCACCTACATGTTATTTCCTTTACAGCAACACCATTTGCTGCCTGGAGGACTACAGACATGCTTCTGAGGTTTCAGTGTGTTGTGGTAGTTCAAATTTGTCAAGG